CATATTTTAGAACACAAAGCAAATCTTAACAAATACAATAAAATTGGAATAACTTCCTATATCCCATCAGAACACAGTGGGATAAAACTGGAAATCAATAGCAAGGAAAATACATAAAACATTCAAACACAAAAAGACTGAAATAATATACTGTATAACAACCAGTGGGCCATAGAAGAAATAGCGGGGAAATTAATTATTATTAAATTATTTATTTGAGATTTCTTTTTTTGATGTAGGCACTAATAGCTATAAACTTTTCCCTTAGTATACCTTCTGTATCCCAAAGTTTCTAGTAAGCTATGATTTCTTTTTCTTTAGATTCTTAAACTTTGTATGATGCTAGGAAAGTTGACTAATTACATGCAGAAGACTAATAATTAGACTAATAATTGATGATTGCAAAATCATCAATTCAAACTGAATCAAGACCTTAATGTAAGATCTGATACTTGGAAGCTACTACATGAAAACACAGGGAAAAAGGGGAAGATATGGACATAAACAATTATTTTCTGAATAGGACTTCTATTGCTTAGGACATACAAGTGAAAATTAATGCATGGGATTGCATCAAATGAAATAAGGAAATAATTGCAAGCATCAAGAGACATCACACAGAATGGGAGAAAAATCTTTGCCAGCTACTCAAGAGATAAATAATTGATATTCAGATATATAAAACACATAAAAAGTTAACAGCAAAGAAGAACAATAATCTAATTAATAAACAGGGCATGAATTAAACAGGCGGTACTCAGAAGAGGAAATTGTAATTGCTAATAAATACATGAAATAATACTGAGCATACTTAGTCATAAAGGAAAGGCAAACCAAAATTACACTGAGATTCCATCTCACTCGCCATCAAAATAGCCATCATCAAGAAAACAAACACAAATGCTGGTGAGGATGCAGGGAAATAGGAACTTACACACTTTTGGTGGCAATGTAAACTAGCGCAACCACTACGGAAATCCATGTGGAACTTCATCAAGAAATTAAAAATAGGCTTACCTTATGACCCTTGGACATATGTCTGATGGCATGTAAATCAACATGCAAGAGTGATACCTGTACATTCATGTTTATCGCAGCACTATTCACAAAAGACAAGGTTTGGGAGCAGCCAAGATTCCAACTATTGATGAATGTACTATTCAGCCATAAAGAAGATGGAATTATGTTGTTTTTCAGGAAAATGGATGGGACTGGAGATCATCATTTTGAAGAGAGAAGCTAAGGTCAAAATGCCAAGTGTTTGCATATTTTCTCTCACATGTGGAATCTAGACCTAAAAGGATGATGATGATGACAATGACGATGATGGGCCATGAGTGTAAAGGGAGGACTGTCTGGAGGGATCAGTAGGAGGGGGCAGAGTACACTGTGAGGTGAGCAGAATCAAAGTATGTTACACACACACATGAAGATAGCATAATGAAATCTACCAAATACTTTTTGAAAAGGGGGGAGTACAGAAGTGAGTAAAGAGTATATTAGAGGGGGTGAAGTTGTTCAAAGTGCACTGTATGCATCCATGAAAATACTGAAATGAAACCCTCTTGTATAATTTATATGTACTAAATATTTTTAAAAGAATGTTTTTCTTAGGTCATACTATTTTTAAATCTATTTTCATTTTTCAAATTTTTAATTGCCATGTATTAATTATACATATTTATATGCTGTAATGTGATTTTTCAATACATGGGTATTTAGCAAAGTCATCACCTGAGACATTTATCATATCTTTGTGGTGAAAAATCCTCACTTTTAGCTTGTTTGAAGTATTTGATATAACACTGTTAACCTTAGTCACCTTACTGTGCAATAAAACAGCAGAAATTACTTCCCATCTAATTGTAATGCACGGGCCAATCCCCTCTGTATTCCCTTGTCCTCTTTCTTCCACACCTTCTGGTAAACAATATTCTATTCATTACTTCCATGATGTTAATTTCACTAGATTCTACATATAAGTGAGATCATTTATAATTTGCCTTTCTGTGCTTGCATTACATTACCCAATTTCTATAGTATCTTTCAGATTCATCTATGTTTCCATAAATGACATCATTCATTCTTTTCTTTTTTACGACTGAACTGTTTTACCTTGTGTATATATCCCACATGTATCTACACATTATCTATTCATCTATTGGTAGAAACTTAAGTTGGTTTCATACCTTGGCTACAGTAAATAGTGCTATAATAAACATAGAAATATATATATTTATTATACACACACATATGCATATATATATGCTGATTTCATTTTCCCTCAATATATTTGCAATACTGTATCTTTGTTCATTTATCACTGTTATAATAAAATACTGAGGCTGTGCACTTTATAAGAAGAAATTTAGTCTACAATTCTGGTGGCTAGAAAGTCTAAGGAGAATGGTACCAATGTCTGGAGAGAGCCCATTGGCTGCTCCCAACATGGCAGAAGACATCATGCAGCAGGAGGTAGAAAAGAGACTTATGCATATGGAAAAGATCATATTGCAGGAGAATCCTTTGGGAAATCATGCTAATGATATAATACTTGTTCAACCCTTGATATATGCTTGTCCAGGGGGGAAACTTGACTTTTGGAGTTATATTTTGCCTACCACATAGCAGGATAAAAATCCTTCATTGTCAAAAATTGTGGGAATATAACAATGCTGTAATTGCCACCATTGGAAGCAAACAGTTATTCCCAGCTTTTCTACAGACCAGGAACTTCACTTAACAAATCTCATCTTCTGCTAACTCTTTCAATGTGTTACTAAATCAGCCAAGAAATTAAAGTAAAAAAAAATCTTTCAGTAACAAATAAAATGAAACAGAGATGTAATTTTTTGAAATAAAGAATTCAAGATGGAAAGATTGAGCCTGAGTCAATTCATAGAGGAATAATGAAGGAACTGAGGAACTGCCATAGAAGAAAGCAAAAGCCTTTCTTTTCCTTAATGACAAAAGAACCCAGGGCTAAACTGTGTAGAATGAGACATTCAAGAGATGCAAGCGTTATAAAACATTACAAAGTAAGAATAATAATATAACCCCTGGAATTTGGGAGGGGCTTGGGAAAAAGAACAAAGAAGCAAATTTCCTTATCTTTTATAGTAGAACTAATGCTACTATTCCAAATTTAAATGTGATATTAACAAATGAGTAATGACTTTGGCTTCTTCATTTTTTACCATAATATTATTTTTTGAACTGAAAAGGAAGCTTTCATGAAATACTATCTTTTTAGTGAAACAATACTTATTGAAGTTTGGCAGGCCCTTTGGTTTTCTCATTAGCATACTTTTTTTCTATGAAAGTCAAGTAAAAAAGAAATGCTCCCTTTGTCTTTACATTTGCATTTTGGAAAAAAACCTTCAGAAATGATATGAGACCATATTAATAATGGTTTTAGGGGATATAAGGGCAGTGAGCTCTTGAAAAGGGTGAAGATAGACAAAGGAGAGGTTAATTTTTCATTCTCTAATATTCTATTCTGTTTTAATGTTCTAGTGCTATAGAGTCTGCATAAATATGTGTCAACTGGGGTAATCTGAGCAAAGTGTTCATAGTCCACTTTACTATTATCTTGTATAACTTGTAGTAGTGCATTAAAGTAGATGTCATGTTTGGGTAAGTTTCAACATAAGCATATGTAATATATAATCAGAACTGAAATTAAAACTAAAACTAAATAATGCAATAAATATCCAAATGTTTACAATAAATGTAGACATAGTAACATAGAACTTATTTGTCAGAGGGAACAAGTGAGAATTAGCATTATTTAACATACTGTGTTTTACGTATAATAAGTGCATATTATATTTTACATTTATTTATATACAACTACTTATATATAAATATTTATTAACATATAAACACTAAATATATACATTATGTATGAATGTATCATGATATCTTAGGTATGTCTTGAATTTTAGATAATTTTTAAGTTGATATACAAATGGATAAAATTACCTAAGGGCATAAATAAGTAATGTAAAATTAACATGCAAACACAGTTACATAATTAAAATATGTTAACATTCAAAATAGGGCAAGAGCAAATAAGGAAAAGACTGGGAGATTCAAAAGAATGAAGAGTTTTAAAAAAACCAAAATAAAAGGAGAAATATTTACACAAAGAAAATATTAAAATATTAAATATTTGCATAAAGAGAAAATTAAGTTTTCAAATTGAAATGGGATTTGAAAAATACTACTAACAGATGTAAAGACTAGATCACAATAGTGAATACTGGGGAAAAAAATGCTAAAAAGTACCAAAACTATGAAATGGCATGAAAAAGGAAAGATTAGATAAAATTTAAAAAGAAAAATGTCTGGTATTACACTGATGTTGATAAACTGAGCTTTTAGAAGGAGTAGGATCCCAAAATGCCTACAGTGTGTAGGTTTGGAAAATAGACATGCTGTTTGCTTCTTGTACTGATAACAAATGAGGGCATCCTGATACATAGTTTTTTATACCCCAGTTCTCTAACAACAAACATAAAATGCATATAAGGAAGAGGAATTTAAATAAAACGAAACAACACAAAGCATTGAGTAAATGTTCCTAAGCTCCTGTTGAAGCCCTGATTCAGGTTCCAATCAATACTCTCACTAGAAAGGAAAAAAGGAAACATGTAAAAGAAAAATCAAACAATATTTTAAAAACTGATAGGATTGTGAAGTATTGTAAAAACGTAAATATTTTAAATAACAAGTAAAATGAGGCAATGAAAAAAACATTGAAAAATAAGCTGAATTTATAAAAATCATATAGTGGTGAATAATAAGTCCTTAGACAACAGGTGGCCATAAGCAAAACATTAAAAGAGGCAGTGGGTAAAGTCCAAATTTTAACAGTTTACTAGTATGAAAAAAACAAGACAATCTGTTACTTCAATTTCCTTTTATTTCTATAAGGGTTAGTGGAGGCTGTGGGTACAAGTACAGGCGATAATGGACTGAAAGAACTGGGACACAGCTTAGTGTCTTGACATAAGAAAGGGTGAGGAAGAGCAATGATGATCACTGCGTGTGGCGATGACCCGGTGCCTCAGGTGTTCCAGGGCGTCAGCGAAGTCCCCGTATAGGCTCTCCCCTGTCACAGTGGGGTGGAAGGCCTCAGACATGGGTGTGGATGAGCACTGGCCAAAGAGAAGCAGGGAGTCGAGGATGATCTGGAAGGAGTCGACGCTGAACTCGAACTGGCGCCTCACCGAGTCCACAAACTTGAGCTCCACGTTCTTGCCACTCTTGTTGGACAGCGAGATGAGGCTCCAGCGGTCCGTGTCCGTGCACACTTTCACCAGCTTCTGCACATACGCCTCCTTGAGTGTCAGTGGTGTGATCTTGGCCCGGCTCACCCCGGCCGGCAGGAAATCCAGCAGGCAGGCCAGCACCACTGCCTTGGTCAGCTGGAAGGATGCCTCGCTGTGCAGGTCCACCTGGAACACCAGGTCCAAGTCCTTGTAGCCAAGGCCACTTTCAGGATGCAGCACATGGCTGGCAGCAGAGCCGTGCAGTCGCACACTGTGCACTCGTAGTCCCTGATCCTCCAAGCTGCTTCGGACCACCTGCACAATCTGCCGGGGCTGCACGCTCAGCGTGGGGAAGTTACCGCGCCCGTGAATGGGAATCGGCTCGCTCAGGAGTGCATCCAGCCGCTTCACCTGTGGCCAGCCCAGCCTGCTCAGGTGCCGTCCTGGGGAGGCCGATGAAGTTTGCAAGGATGGGAATTTCAGTAGGTGGAGTCCCAAACACCAGATACATCTGTTGGCAGGGAGATGTTATTAAATTGCTTGCTTTTTTATTTGAAAACACACACACATACCCCACATCACACTTGTTAGTTACCAATGATTTGGAGACTCACTGAAAGTGTGATTTATCTGTTGATTCATTTCATTCTCATTTTAACCCTAAAATGGTAGACATTATTACTCTTTCCATTTCACAGATGAAGGAGTTGAGTCACAGGAGGATAAATGACTGTCCAGGAGTACAGAAAAAAAGGGCAGAGCTGTGCTGCAAACCCTACTCCTCTCTGTCAGTGGTGATAATGTGGAGGTTCAAAATCAGACACTTTCCATAAAAACAAATCACACGGAGTTTCTTAGTAAGAATGTGAAGATTTCTCTACTAGGTTGTCTCCACTGAAACTCAAACTAATAGGAAGCCTATTCCTGTTTCGAATCAATGAGTCAGGAATGTATGCAATGTCTCTTTAAAAATATTTATTCTAAGACATTGGTCAAAACACTCAGAGGATTCAAGTTTCATGGTTTCTCCCTCCAACTTCCCCAGCTGCTCCACAACCCAGATTTTTTCTTCATCATGGAAAGTGAAGCATGCCACCTCTCCAGGGCATTGTGACATGTTTTGGCACAGCAGAGAGCAATTCTTGACAGTGGGGGGTGGGGTATTATGCTTGAAACCATAAGTGAAGAGGTCAGCTGCCATCTGCACTTGACATCTTCCAAAACCTAAGAGAGAGTTAGCAAATTATTCAGAGTTGAAAACATGTGATACGGTAGCTCGTTTCATTTCAAATCATCACCCCCTACGGTTGGAAGCCATTTGTTCATTGCTTATCCAACTCATTTGACTAGGAGATGGATATGTCCCTCTATAGGGAAGTGGATTTGCTTTTCACTCTGCTGCTGCTTTGACCTACTGGCTGGGTGTTAAGTGACTGCTGTCTCTACAGACTTCCAGGTCCTGCTCATTTTTTCCATGCTATGTTTAATGAGGTATGTCAGAACAAAGGAAAGAGAAGCAAAGTGCATGGAAAAATACAGTAGAATATGCAGCATCGGGAGATCTTTCAAAATTCTGCCTCATCACAGTTGTCAGTGTTCCATACCCACTACTTCCCATAAGACAAAGTTCAGATTCCTTCTTGGCCTTCTATCTCCATGCAAGGTCATCTATGATCAGCTGCCATCTTTTCTCTTGTATATCTTGATTATCACATTTTTCTCTACAAGTATTTCACCACCCAGATGGGCATCTTTTATTCTATGGATTTCCCCACCATATCTACCTCTCTGCATTCACCCCTGGCCCTGACTTAAGTTCCTGTGATACTTCTTTTATCCAGTTTTTGTTTGTGGTGTTGTAGATTCAGTATCTCATTCCCAATTGAGGATCTAACACCCAGCAGAAAAGCAACTTGTTCAAGACAAGAGAGTCCTGTTCTGGGCCTACATATACACTATTGTTTGGATATGTTTTCCAAAGGTCCAGGTGCTAAAGGCTTGGTCCCCAGCCTGTAGTACTATTGGGAAGTGATGGCATCACTAAGAGGTGCAGCCTAGAGGGAAGAAGTTCGATCACTGTGGGGAGAAGCATAGCCTAGAAGGGGATATTGGAAACCTATCCCTTTTTTTCTGTTTTTGCTTCCTAGTTTAGCCTCCATGAGATGAACAGGCCTTTTCAACCATGAGCTCCTGCCATGATACACTGTGCTTCCCAAGACTAAAGCAAGAGGGCCAAGTGATCAAAGGGACTGAAGCCTCTGAAACCATGGGCCAAAATAAGTCTTTCCTCTTCATAAATTGATTACCTCAGGTATTATATAGCAATGACAGAAAGCTGGCTAACAGGTTGTACTGTTTCGGAGCCAGCCATGCTATAGAAATGCAATTAGCATTTTCTTTACCAAGGACATTGGTGGAGAAATGAGTACTTATAAGTTGCTCATTTGGAGATAGGTGCTCCAACTCCTCCCACTCCCCATATCTCTATCATGGCAAGCAGAACCTGTCAGCCAGGAAGACAAACAGCTTCCTGTGTGACCCCCATCCTGGGCCCTAGTGGCATATTAAACCCAAAACCCTGTGCAGTAATCTTGCTTCTGTTTTAGAATGCTTTCGCCTTTTAAAGGAGCATTACAGAATTTTTAGAAATGGCATGACAACATGCTCAGAACATCTTGTCTTCATTTCTTTTAACAATCATGATATTCTGTAAGAGGAATTGCTGACCTTATCTTTGGCAGACCAATGGGACACACATCCCCTTAACTATTTGAACTTTTTGTCTGGTTTCCACTGGCAGTGAGCACTCCATTTCATTTTTAACCATCATCATTACTTGGAATAGTCATATTTTTAAAAATTTGGCAACTTGCTGGTATGGAATAATATATATAGCTCTAATTTTTAATTTCTCAAATTACCACTGCAATTGAGCATGTTTTGTATCTTTTTTTGGCTATTTTGATTTCCTTCATTTTCTATGAATTCCTAAGAATAGTATTTATTTCTTTGTCCCTCTCTTTTTTCATTTGCATAGGAGCTTAACTGCCAACTCCTCCTTCTGAGGCAAGCCTTGGAAGCCTCATCCGGTTCTTCCTAAGACTCGACACATTGATACCTTTCTCTTTGTGTCTTAACATCACTTCTTGGTTCTTTCACATTTCTCATCGAAGGTCAAGAAAGAACCTATCAATTCTACTTGGGTGCAGTTCATACAATAGTCAAGTCATAGAGAGGAAGTAGAATGTTGGTTGCTAGGGCCTGAAGTAGAGGAAGGGGAAATTAGTATGTAATGGGTATAGAGTTTAAGTATTACATGATGAAAAGAATTATAGAGATATATGCTGGTGATGCTTGCATGACATTATGATTGCATTTAATACCATTGTATCGCATATTTAAAATTGTTAAAATGGTAAATTTTATGTATGTACATTTCACCATAACATAAAAGTTTTGGGGGAAAGTCTTAGTAGACAGACAGTAAAGACCATCAAAAACAATATACTGAAAAACTCCCACAGTCAAGAGGAATCTAAGGAGACATGAACTCAACATTAATGTTTTCCTGGAGGAGAAACTTGAACAGAAAAAAGATACTAGGTTAAAAAAAAAAACAGGAAAACTTGAATGAAGTTTGTATTTTATTTTTATTTTTAAATAGAATAAACTTATTAATATCCAGAAATTTGCCTCATTTTTATCTCACCAGCAGGGCAGTAGGACTCTTGTCCAAGGAGCTGAAGTTTCTCATTTAATCATTTACAAAAGAATTGGAAGGGTGAGAAGGGCTAGAGAACAGGGATCCCTGGTGTGCCCAGAACTGAATAGTATTGCCATTTTATTAGAATTGAGAAGGGAAATAGATCCAAGGAACATGAAATGATTTATCAGGAAATGACCTTATATTCCAACCAACAATTCTTTCTTGCCACAATCTAAATAGAGTTTTCCAAAGCAAATGATTTAATAAAATATACAATAGAAAACAGAAATAATTAGCAACTGAGAAGATAGAGGACTGGAATGTTTTAGTCAGTGCGGGAAGATATTTTGTTGCTTGGTTTCTTGTCCCTGTGATGTCGCAAATCTGTACAATAAATGCATAGGTCATCAGTAAAGAATACACAGTTCTCCTTTTTTCTCCCTCTTTTTTTCCTCTGTGTTATCTTTGGATTGATATTTGGGAGTACTTAGTCAGAAAATCTAAGTCAATAAACATATGCATAAACTGGAGGATGAGTGTTGAAAGGAAGAAGATAAAGAGAGATAAACAAACAGCTGGTGAGTTCAGGGAAGGTGTTAGGAGCATGACAGGGATGGTGCTCTGGAGCAGCTGTGGGCTCTGGATTTCTGTGATGAAGCTCCCAAAGATTCACCAAAAAACACAGTGATGGAGAACTTAGAGGATTCTCTAGAATAGCTTTTGCAATTACTTTGCCTATCTATGACTTCAGAAAAGGACAGCTCTTACAAGAGTCTAACTTTTGTTACGGTTACATACTTATCCTAAAGTTATATCACTGAGAACTTCTTGAAGAGTCTAACTTTCATTTAAATTGAGTCTAGTGGTGGAGGCATGATTGTAGGTCCATTGATGTTAAATTTGGGACATAAGTGTGATATAATGGATTAAGCACTGAAATTGAAATTTGATTTATTTTTAAAAACAAATAATCTCTTTTGATGTCTGTTTTTGGCTATTAGCTTATGAGATGACTTTAAGCTCTTTGTCTGCATAACATGCCATTAATTAATGACTACTTCTCTGCCAACCTATAGGGTTGCTGTGAAGATGAGCCAATGAAAATATTCATACGAACTTGCAAACTATACTGTGGTATCTCAATGTAGTGCTAATTACTTCCTCCATAATTAGCCATATAGGAGGGGTGATGGTGCCTGGCAATTTGTGGGGGCTGCTGCATCAGTGGGGAAATGTATATACTTGTAAACCACAACTACTCTATCTTCCAGCAGACTGCACAAAAAATGTAAACTATAGGAAAAATAGAAACAGAAAATCACCTATATATATTACTATTTTGTGCCCTGGGTCTGGAAGTTTATTACAGGAGAGGATTTTTTCCACATTTATGAAGAGTTGGTAAAAGCTTCACCCTCCCATTTAGACAGTTTTGTGTTCACAGAACTGCTGTAAATTACTAAGGGTGACAAAGGGACCAGAGTGAAGCATGGACTCAAGCAGCTGCCCCCCCACTGTGAGAATCTTCTCCTGGGCAGCAAATGCATTCCAGAAGATGAGGGGCACACAAGCTGAGGAAGACAAATCATTCTGTCAGGGAGGAATATAACAAGAGTGAGATTGCTTTATTTAGAAAGAAAAGCTGCCTTGTTGGAGGTATCTCATGTTCTTGGGACAGAGATGAAATAAGCACACAGGCTCTATTGCCATTAGTACTCCTGGAATGAGAAATGCAATATTTCTTTTGAGTGATAATTTGGACCAGCAGGTGTGTTTGCATACAGATAAACAGAAAGCCTGGAGAGAGGCATAGGAAGTAGGGAAAGAATTTCAAATGGAGCTAATGAACAACAAAAAAGTGTCCTGGCTGCCTTAGCCCCTGAAACTACAGACAATAGGATGCCATGAAAACCACCCAACAGTGAGAAGCTGACATGTTCACAATGTTCTGGTGAGTACTGAATTACCTTCAGATTCTTGGGTGCTAACACTTGGGTATAAGAACCCTTTGATAAGTTGATAAAATCTATGGAGATTTTTCCATACAAAAAGAAGATATTTACACAGAATACTTTGCATAGAAATTCATAGCATTTGAGGATTACTGAGATCTATTTGCAGGCTCTTTTCAGTACTCCATTGCTGACATTTTTCCTCTTCTATATGGTATGACATGGCATGCCATGATATAATAGATATGTAAGCTATAAGATATATATGTATATATCTTACAGCTTCTGGAAACAGCTACTTGTTTGAAAATTTAACTCTAAAGTCCATAGGAAAGAGTATAGGAAAATGAGGCCTTTGAGAAAAATCTTTGCTCCATAATAATTATCTTTTCTATAACTTGATTCTTAATTCTTGCTCCCAATTACGGGAACATATACTTTACAGGGCACAGGAACATTTACCACTCTGAGATATCCAAATATCAGGCATCAGTGTAGTATGGGACATGTTATCAACACATCTGTTCAGACTTCTATAAGGAAAATGCCTTAAAGTATAAACATTTATTTCTCACTGGGCCAGTGACAAGCACTGCAATAATCTCTGTGGGTTCTCCAGATCTTCTGTAGCTATGCTATTTACCTATGATGATGATAAGGTGATCTGGAGAGCTATTTCATCAGGCCACCATGCTGAACTACCTCAAAAGCTACCCTTCACATTAAAGCCTATCTGAATGTTGTCACTGAAATTGTGCCACTCACAGTGTACAGGGATATGTATGGAAGCCCTGTATTTGGAGTCAAGGCTTGTCTTTTTGTTTGTTTCTTTGTTTATTCATCTTTGTTTTTAAGAGGTGGGCTGTAGACTGAACTGATACATTAAAATCCTTATCCGCAATGGGATGGTACTGGGCGGTGAGAACTCTTCGGGTAATTAGGTTATGAAGGTAGTCCCCATAATAAAAATAGTGCCCTTATAAACCAGAGAGCAGAGTGCTTTCTTGCCTTTCCACTATGTGAGGACACAGTGAGAAGATAGCTGTCAATGAACTAGAAAGCAGATGCTCACCAGACATGCAGTCTTCTGGGGCCTTGACATTGAACTTCCCAGCTCCGGGCTTGAGTGAGTCAGTAAGTCATTACATATAGATATTCAAACTGGAGGATGACTTTTGTCACTCTTAGCCAAAACAAGAACTTCAAATAGATCTTTAAAATACACAACCAAGAAAGTTACTTTGTGCTGGAGTCAGAGAAATGACCAGGGTGAAATTACACTTAGCTTTGGCATTTCTATAGCTATGTAGATGGGTTAGGGAAGAAGCAAAGCATACAAAGAATTTGGCATTAAGTTATGGAAACAGCCAAGATGCCCCAGCACTGACGAATGGATTAAGAAAATGTGGTATCTATACACAATGGAATTTTATGCAGCCATGAAGAAGAACGAAATGTTATCATTCGCTGGTAAATGGATGGAATTGGAGAACATCATTCTAAGTGAGGTTAGCCTGGCTCAAAAAACCAAAAATCGTATGTTCTCCCTCATATGTGGACATTAGATCAAGGGCAAACACAACAAGGGGATTGGACTATGAGCACATGATAAAAGCGAGAGCACACTAGGGAGGGGTGAGGATAGGTAAGACACCTACAAAACTAGCTAGCATTTGTTGCCCTCAACGCAGAGAAACTAAAGCAGATACCTTAAAGCAACTGAGGCCAATAGGAAAAGGGGAACAGGTACTAGAGAAAAGGTTAGATCAAAAAGAATTAACCTAGAATTAACCCATGCACAGGAAATCAATGTGAGTCAATGCCCTGTATAGCTATCCTTATCTCAACCAGCAAAAACCCTTGTTCCTTCCTATTATTGCTTATACTCTCTCTACAACAAAATTAGAAATAAGGGCAAAATAGTTTCTGCTGGGTATTGTGGGGGAGAGGGAGGGGACGGAGTGGGTGGTAAGGGAGGGGGTGGGGGCAGGAGGGAGAAATGAACCAAGCCTTGTATGCACATATGAATAATAAAAGAAAAATGAAAAAAAAAAAACAAAGAATTTGGCATTAATACAACCTAATATAACTAATACTTGCTCCTTTCCGTTCTCCTAGAGTTCCTGCCAGAATGTGGTTAGGATACACATGTACCCTGTACTCAGGGCTTCAGAGTGAGGTAATAGGTCCCATTTCTAGTGTTCTGTATAATTTCAATCAAAACCTGCCAGAAACTATTTCATTAAGTATTCTTGTATTTCCAAGAAGGTTTTACTTCTGAGTATAGAAGAACTAATCATGGAACCAACCAGAAACTATAAAGTGAACAACACTGACTTTCCAGTTCTCTTTAGCAATTTATGGCTCTGGTGTGAAAGCCCATTTCTCCAGAGAGGGCACTGCAGATTTCTAGAGTTTCTGAGATTCCATCAGCTGTTTTCTGATGCCTCCAGAGGTAATTTTGACACTTGTAGAATAGCACTTTGGGTTCAAAGTCCTCTTGGGGACAA